ATGCTTAAGGATTGAGCTCTACCACATGGGGGAAAGCAAGAGTTGGATCTTCTGCCTGGTTTGTTTGTGTAAATACATCTGTCTGGGCTCCAGATGTGGTTAGATCAGTGCCATGATACTCTGCGCTTGAACAGTAGATCTCTGAATAAACTATTAAAACGGGGTTCCCAGTTATGCGGGTAAAGCTCGTCTTGGAATCGGGCAAAGAGATTTTCTACTGGATTTCTGGCTAAATGTGTAGAGGTCAGAAGAAGGGAGGGTCAGTTCAGGGTGGCACCCATTATCTACCCACTTTGAGCAAGCTGAAGTTCACATTTGGCCAAAACAGGACAATTTTAAAGCCAATTAAAGAAATCCATAGAGGATAAGCCGTTCCTAGTTTCTAGACATGATGGGTAATCATTTGCTCATCCGTTTTCTTTGAGACCATCATTGGCTAAATATATGAAACCGCTCACTTGAGAAGAGTTCTTGAAACAGGAAAAGCTCTATCAAACACTGTATTGAAGGACACTTTGCTAATTATCGTCTAAGCATGCACAGTGCTAGTTTTGCCTCTGGGAACTTTTCTCCTGTGTCCCAAAGATGCTTTTCAAAAGGCAACTGGACTTCCTTGTGTGTGTGTTTTTTTTAAACTTCTCATCCAAGAAGCTTCTTTGGTTCTGGCTGAATGGTGAGGAATGGAAGGATATAGAAATAGAAATAGAATAGAGTAGATAGAATATTGGAAAATAGAACAGAACAGAATAGATTAGAATAGAATGCAGAATAGAATATAGAATATTCTGTTCTATTCTATTCTAGAATAGAATATTGGAAAGTAGAACAGAACAGAACAGGAATAGATTAGATTAGAATAGAATATAGAATAGAATAGAATAGAATAGAATAGAATAGAATAGAATAGAATAGAATATTGGAAAGTAAACCAGAACAGAAAAAGAACAGAATAGACTAGAATGCAGAATAGAATATAGAATAGAACAGAACAGAAAAAGAACAGAATAGAATATTGGAAAGTAGAACAGAACAGAACAGATTAGATTAGAACAGAATGCAGAACAGAATATAGAATAGAATAGAATAGAATAGAATAGAATATTGGAAAGTAGAACAGAACAGAACAGAACAGATTAGATTAGAACAGAATGCAGAATAGAATATAGAATAGAATAGAATGCTGAATTCTCTTCTCTTCTCTTCTATACTATATTAGAATAGAATAGAGTAGAACAGAACAGAACAGAATAGAATAGAATAGCTCTAGCGTACATACAAGCAACAAAGTGATGTCATTGATCATGAATCATAAGATATAATCACAATCATAAGGTAGAAACAAGTGATAAATCATAAGATACCAACAGGAGAAGGTAACAGGAGAGATGAGAAAGCAAGAAAAATTAGAAGATGAGAAAGAGGAGAAGATTTATATTTTATTCCTTAGCAGCCATCTGGTCATTAGTTCTCTGAGAGTCATTGAGGCCACTTGGGGGTTTATCTGTGTCCTCAGGGTCACCTGGATCAGAGTGCAAATAGCTGTGGAGCCTTCTTGGGACTGCTGAAAGGACTGTGTTGTAGCCTGGAGATAGATGATGTCGTATCCCTCCCTCTCTGTTGAGAGAGGGCTGCTCAGTTTTAACATAGATGGCCTTTTGACCCCTCTTTCAAACCAGCATTCCTCTCTGTCCAGAATGGGGATTTTGCTGTCTTCAAAAGGTACAGATGGACTGCTGAATCCTGTCCTGATGGACACAAGATACTGCCCCCCCCCACAAAGTCTCATTTCTGAGCCCAATGTAATAAATTGAACCGACTGACTCAAAGCCATTAGAGATTTTTTCCACCCTATTAAAAGTTTCGGCATGTCTTAGGATCAATATGGCTTAGCGTTTAAAGCAAGTACACAAAAGCAAACTCTTGGCAATTAAAAAATTGTTCCAAGTGTTCTAACGACAACAGAGACCAGAAAATAGGAAAAAACCCAAAGGTACCTCATGTTGTCACCTTGACCATGTAGCCATTAGGAGTTGAGCTTGACCCAAAAGGTCTCCATTTTGTGGCGTTAAGGTAGCTAAACTGAACATGGAAGGGGAAGCAGGTATGGGAACTAACTTGGCAACTTAATTTGGATTTCAAATCTTTGCTCAAACATCGAACTCCTTTGATGGCTCTCAGTTGAACCATTCCAGAAGGTTGCTTAGGTTTAAGTACAGGCAGTCCTCAACTTACGACTGTTTTTCACACTAATGACCATTGCAGCACCCCTGTGGTCACGTGATCAAAATTCAGATGCTATGTCCCAAGGTCACACGATCCTCTTTTGCAACCTTCTGAACAAGCCAAGTCAACAGGGAAGCCACTTAACAACCGTGCTACTTACTTAACAGCTGCAGTGATTCACTTAACGGTGGCAAGCAAGGTCGTAACATGGGGCAAAACTCACTGAACCCGTCTTGCTCAGCAACAGAAATGTTGCGCTTTTTAAGAAGAGGCTAGACAGTCACTTGAGCAGGGAGCTGGACTAGAACAGGGCTTTTCAACCTTTTCACCCATTGGACCACTTTTAGGATATGGCAACATCCGAGGACCACCAGTCGCCTAGCAAGGTGTCAAAAACATGATGACAAAAAAAAAAAGGAAAAGAGTGATAAAGTACTGGTAGTCCTCAACTTACAACAGTTCGCTTAGTGACTGTTCAAAGTTACAATGGCACTGAAAAAAGTGCAACCCCCCAAGCCACAGCCGAGCAAGACACCTGCCTGCCCACCCGGGGTGCTTTTCCTCCTGTCTGAGGTTTTCATTGTTGTGAGCATTTCTGTTGAGGATTGGCAGCAGGGATGGGGGAGGGGGTTGGTTTTTATTCCCCCCATCTGCTGGGTGGTTGCAGCAGGTTTTGGTCACTTCACATGACCCTGGGATACTGTGACCGTCATAAATATGAATCAGTTGCTAAGCATCTGAATGTAAATCACAAGACCCTGGAGAGGCTGCAACATTCCAGCTGATCGGCGCTTCTTCTGGGCTCAGCAGATGCGCCAGGTTCAGTGCGGCTTTCCAGTTGATTGGTGCTTCTTCAGGGCTCAATAGAAGCACCAGGATCAACACTGAGCTCCAGCTGGAGCCTGGCACTGATCCTGGCACTTCCACTGAGCCCTGACAGCCCCAAAGAAGCGCCAATCAGCTGGAAAGCAGCACTGATCCTGGCGCTTCCGCTGAGCCCTGGCAGCCCTGCAGCTCCAGCCATCTCTCCTCAGGCTTGTGTGGTGCTGCCACCGGTTCAGCTCATTCCCCTCCCCCACTACCACTTTTCTAGGATGGTCGCGTACCACCTGCCAGGTGCCAATGTACCACAAGTGGTACCTGTACCACTGGTTGAAAAGCCCTGGACTAGAAGACCCCCAAGGACCCTTCCAGCTCTATTCTATTCTATTCTGTTCTGTTCTGCTCTATTCCATCCCATCCTGCATTCTATTCTCTTCTGTTCTCTTCTGTTCTCTTCTATTCCTATTCTAGAGGCTGCCACAAAGAGGAGGGGGTCAAGCTATTCTCTAAAGCACCAGAAGGCAAGACAAGAAACAATAGATTGAAACTGATCAAGGAGAGAAGCAACCTGGAATTAAGGAAAAACTTCCTAACAGTGAGGACAATTAACCAGTGGAACAACCTGCCTCCAGAAGTTGTGGGTGCTCCAACACTGGAGGTTTTTAAGAAGAGACTGGACAGCTACTTGTCTGAAATTGTATAGGGTTTCCTGCCTGAGCAGGGGGTTGGACTAGAAGACCTCCAAGGTCTCTTCCAACACTGGCATTCTGTTCTGTTCATGTCTCCACTGTGGTTCCTCCAGCAGAAATCTAGAGTGAACTTCTGCGAACAGGAATGCACAAAACCACCTTAGAGCCATGTGCAAACACTCCAGTGACAGAAAGGTGAATACGTGTGGCTCAATCTCTCAAGACTCAAAGCCTAGCTAACCTGAGGAGGAGCTGGTCCCTGGGTTTTCAGCCTCGCTGCTTTATCTTCTTGCATTCATCTGCAGCTTCCAGTCAGGAACTGTATTTCTAACGCAGCTTTTATCAGCTCTCCATAAACTGCCTGAAGCAGGTACTTATTGTTCTTGATCTGCAGGTAGCTGCAGGTTCCCCTTCCCTTCTTACAAGAGAAAAGAAATGATAAGCTTCAAGTAAGCTCCTGTTGACAACTACAGTATTTACAGATTTTATAATATAACCAATTTATAACGCCTTGTTAAGACCACACTTGGAATACTGCATCCAGTTTTGGTCACCATATTCTAAAAAAAAAGCAACAAAAAGTTTTGGTGACCAAAACTTCGGAAAGTGTGCAAAGAAGTGCAATAGAGATGATCAGGGGGCTGGAGGCTATAACATATTAAGGAACGGTTGCTGGAATTGGGTATGTCTAGTTTAATGAAGAGAAGGACGAGGGGGGACATGATAGCAGTCTTCCAGTATCTCAGGGGCTGCCACAAAGAAGAGGGAGTCAAGCTATTCTCCAAAGCACCCGAAGGCAGGACAAGAAGCAATGGATGGAAACTAATCAAGAAGCAATCTAGAACTAAGGAGAAACTTCCTGACAGTGAGAACAATTAATTGGTGGAACAACCTGCCTCCAGAAACTGCGAATGCTCCAACACTAGAAGTTTTTAAGAAGAGATTGGACAACCATTGGTCTGAAATGGTATACTTTTTCCTGCCTGAGCAGGGGGTTGGACTAGAAGACCTCCAAGATCCCTTCCAGCTCTATATTCTGTATTCAGATGGTGGTGGGTCATCCATATTGATGGGGCATTGTTGAATCGCTCAGGACTGAGGCTGGAGCTAATCTCTGAGAAAGAAGTTCTACAAGGGGAAGTAAAGGGCAGCTGCTTAGGTCCTTGGCCGAAGATTTATATGGCTTCCCGGAGATCTTCAACAATTCTGTAAATCAAAATGAGTTCACACTTGACTTGCAACATTTCGTCATAGGATATAGCTTACCTTCCTTGGCTTCACTTTGTCGTGATAGTCATATTGGAAGATGCCTTTGTAGCTGAGTCCTAACCACCACGGAATTCCCTGCTTATCCTAGAAAGTTGGGGAGAAACAGAATAAATGACTTACTCTTTTACTTTTTACTATTACTATTTAACTTAGGACTGAGGAGCAATTTCCTGACAGTGAGAACAATTAATCATTGGAACCAGTTGTCTTCAGAAGTTGTAACTGCTCCAACACTGGAGGTTTTGTCTGAAATGGTATAAACAGGGGTAGGCAACCTTGGCTCTTTTATGACTCGTGGACTTCAACTCCCAGAATTCCTGAGCCTGCATGGCTCAGCTTAGAAACTCTCCCTTTCCCCTCAGCATGGCTGGCTCAGGAATTCTGGGAGTTGAAGTCCACGAGTCATAAAAGAGCCAAGGTTGCCTACCCCTGTCTTAACCCAAAACAGTCAGACTCTTCAGAATAGAACCACATGTAAATACAGAATAATAATTTCAATTGTCCTTGCTCAGGGTCAACCCATTAATGAATTAAATTATTTTTTTCAGAGCGCACCCACCTTGACTGCATAATAATGTACTCCATAGGTTGGGAGGGACTCTACAATGCTCATATAACTAGGAAAAGAAACATAAGAAAAATGAGATCAAAGACGCAAACAGCACGGGAGTTATGCAAAACAGCATATTGACACCTTGGCAGTCTTTTGAGACCCAACTTTGAAACCCAACCTTGCATCTTTTAAACTCTCCCAAAATTTGAATTCATGTCACTTTAAACATCATAATGCTTTACTTATATAATCCAACGCCGTGCACTCTACATGGGGCCACCCTTGGAGAGTATCCAAAAGCTTCAATGGGGGCAGAACACAGATGCATGGACAGTTTCAGGGGTCCCTGGTGTGTGATCCATGTCACACCACAGCTGTGTGAGCTGTTATTAGTGGCCAGCTTGCTTCTGGGTCCAATACAAGGTTATTACCTACAACAAAGGTCCCCAACCTTTTGGCCACCAGGGACTGGTTTCGTGGAGAAAGGTTTTTCCGCGGACCGGAGAGTGTGTGGTTTTGTGTGTTGCCTGCATCCCATGGATGGGGCTTTGCTTGTTTTTGTAGACTGGTTGCTGGCATACCACGGACCGGTACTGGTCCACAGACCGGGGGTTGGGGACCCCTGATTTACAAAACCTCTTATGACATGGATCCAGGCTACCTGAGGAATTGTCTCACCCCAGGTGGGATTGTCCACCCCACACTTTCTGGCAGAGGGGCTGCTGTGAACCCCGTCGGTCAAGGAATATTAGGACAGTACAAAATAACTTTCCATGAGCAGCCTAAGGTGGAAAAACTCAACGTTAAATAAAAAACAAAGCATGAATTTAACTGAAGGTTGCAGGTGATTTTGGCTAATGGAGCACCCTGCCCAGGAATGCGGATACACAAATAATTTCACGAGCAGAGACATCAGCTTCTGCAAATGATCCAAAGGTGTTTTTGGACTTTCTTGTTTTTTTTTTTAAGACATTTCTCTTCTCATCCAGGAAGCTTCATGTCCCACCGTCCAGCCAGAGCTGAAGAAGCTTCTTGGATGAGAAGCGAAACGTCTTCAAAGAGAAAACAAGAAAGTCCAGGTGCCTCCTGAAAAAAAAAGCACCTTTGGGACAACTGTGACTTGGATGACTGAGAATCTCCAGAGACTTCTGCAAGGGCAAGCGTTGAAAAATAGTTAGGCCAGGGGTAGGCCATCTTGGCTGTTTTATGACTCGTGGACTTCAACTCCCAGAATTCCTGAGCCAGCATGGCTCAGCTTGGAAACCTCTCACTTTCCCCTCAGCGTGGCTGGCTCAGGAATTCTGGGAGTTGAAGTCCACGAGTCATAGAAGAGCCAAGGGTGCCTACCTCTGGCCTAGGCCTAGGCCGCTTTATGACTCGTGGACTTCAGCTCCCAGAATTCCTGAGCCAGCATGGCTCAGCTTGGAAACCTCTCCCTTTCCCCTCAGCATGGCTGGCTCAGGAATTCTGGGAGTTGAAGTCCACGAGTCATAAAAGAGCCAAGGTTGCCTATCTCTGGTTTAACCCATCAATGATTTTACTCTGTTTCTGCTTGGCGATGTAACTCTAATTGTCTAACCCATCATGGCTGTAATTTGTCCACAAGTCTTAAATGTCTGTGGAGATTCTCAGTCACCCGGTTGGTGGTTGTCCCAAAGGTGCTTTTTCAAAAAGGCAACTGGATTTTCTTGTTTATTTGTTTTTTATTTCATAATGGAGCACCCTGCCCAGGAATGCGGATACACAAATAATTTCACGAGCAGAGACATCAGCTTCTGCAAATGATCCAAAGGTGGTTTTTTTCAGGAGGCACCTGGACTTTCTTGTTTTTTTTTTTAAGACATTTCTCTTCTCATCCAGGAAGCTTCATGTCCCACCGTCCAGCCAGAGCTGAAGAAGCTTCTTGGATGAGAAGCGAAACGTCTTCAAAGAGAAAACAAGAAAGTCCAGGTGCCTCCTGAAAAAAAAAGCACCTTTGGGACAACTGTGACTTGGATGACTGAGAATCTCCAGAGACTTCTGCAAGGGCAAGCGTTGAAAAATAGGTTAGGCCAGGGGTAGGCCATCTTGGCTGTTTTATGACTCATGGACTTCAACTCCCAGAATTCCTGAGCCAGCATGGCTCAGCTTGGAAACCTCTCCCTTTCCCCTCAGTATGGCTGGCTCAGGAATTCTGGGAGTTGAAGTCCACGAGTCATAAAAGAGCCAAGGTTGCCTACCCCTGGGTTAGGCTTATACTCTATGATATAGGGCAGGGGTATACAACTTATACTCTATGATATAGGGCAGGGGTAGGCAACCTTGGCTCTTTTATGACTCATGGACTTCAATTCCCAGAATTCCTGAGCCAGCATGGCTCAGCTTGGAAACCTCTCCCTTTCCCCTCAGCGTGGCTGGCTCAGGAATTCTGGGAGTTGAAGTCCACGAGTCAAAAAAGTGCCAAGGTTGCCTATCTCTGGAATTATAGGGGCTTCAGTCTGATGTTGGGACATAAATATGAATGGCTAGAGCAGTGCTTTATTGTTTTTATCGTCTTAGCTTGTAGTTGATAACATAAGATTAGGGCCTCTGAGGCTTTTGGGAGGGGGCTGGTGCTTTGCAAACTTCAATAAAGGAAGTGAGACCCCCCCAGTTCTTCCCTTCTTATCTTTTTTTTTACTGGCCTATTTATTTTGGCTCACCTCATCCAGAGGAAGTAAATACAGAGAGTCCTTGACTTACAATAGTTCATTTAGTGACCGTTCGAAGTTACAACGGCACTGAATAAAGTGTCTTTTTAGCATTTTCCACGCTTACAGCCCTTGCAGCATTTCCATGGTCACGTGATCAAAATTCAGATGCTTGGCAATTGACTCTTATTTATGACGGTTTGCACTATCCCGGGGTCATATTATCTCTTTTTGCGACCCTCTGACAAGCAAAGTCAATGGGGGAAGCCAGATTCACTTAACAACCGTGTTATTAACTTATCAACTGCAGTGATTCACTTAACAACTATGGCAGGAAAAGTCGTAAAATGGGGCAGAATTCACTTAAAAAATGTTTCACTTAGTAACAGAAATTTTGGGCTCAATTGTGGTCGCAAGTTGAGGACTACCTACATGGAAAATGAAAGAGCCTGAAGAAAAAAAAAAACACCAACCCTTAAAGCAGATTTGAAGTCGTTTCTGCCTTCATGGAATTCTTTCTACAAGCTATGATGAACCTATAATTGTATACTGCAAAGAGTTAAATTTTAGGGAACAAATTAAATGCTTGTGCATCACATAAGGGATATATACACTTTGGGATATAACCCACGTGCACCTGAAAACCTGGTTTGGACCTAAAAATCTGGAATGCCAGCTTTTAAGAGGGTCATATTTTAAGAGGGTCTCCATTGTTACTGATATTAATTTTAAGGAAGAAACACAGTTTCCCAGATCCTACTTTGGACATCGCTGCTTTGAAGCCAAATATGTTATGAAAGAGACTGAAGTCACAACGAGATTTTGAATGCACACTGGCCAAAATTTTCTGTGTCTGGAATTCCTGTTTTTGACTTACTTGACGATAGCTTGGCCTCTTGTCTGTCCATTCAGCTTCTTGTAATGCTCAATCACTCGATCCTCACTTGGAAAAAGAGAAACAGAAATTAATTTAGCAGGCAGGGTTGAAAAAGTATGATGGCGTTCCAGAGTAGGAGAACCATCTCCTCAGCAATCAAGTCAATAAATCTCAAAGATCTCTATATAGATAACAAAATGGAAAGCAAGGAAAACAACGCCAGCTGTCCTAGAATATATTCTTCCATTAAAAAAGTGCTTTCCTTTTATAAAATAAAAACATTAGCTACACAAAAGTAGAAATTAAGGAGGTGAGCTCCAGGTCATGTAATACTTGAAAAGGTTTGAAGTTGACTTTGCATTTTCTCCTGTGCCACTCTCTTGCCAAAAAAAGGTGAGAAAGCATCTATTAAGTTAAGAAAAAAGATCCTCATACCGCGTAAATCTTATGGATCACACAAAGTATCTTAGCATGAGCATGGTCATGTAATTGAATATAAATAAGATGCTGTTTGTTCGCTTTTTTGTGAGTGGGAAAAGCCCCAGATACAATTCAGATTTACACAGAAGAATAAATTGGGAACCATATTGTAAATCTTCAGTTCAAGGACTGGATACTCTCATCCGTTATGATGGATAGAAATCGGGTTCAAGCAAGCAAACTCTAAGCAGGTTCCAGAATTGTTGTTATTTTCTGCTATTTTCCTGCTCTTCATTGTTTCTGCTAATCCCTTTCTGTTCACTGCCCATCTCCAATGCTCCCATATTCTTGCTCTTCTCTGCTTTTTTTCCATCCCTTTCAGGTTATCCACTGGCTTTATCTGTATTCAGCATTGTGCCTTTCCTTTCCCTTCTTCCTTTCCTTTCCTTTCCCTCCTTCTCTCATAGTTTTTGTCATTTACAGTTGCATTCCCTTTCCTTTCCTTCCCCTTCTTCCTTTTCTTTCCTTCCCCTTCCTATCTTTTCCTTTCCTTCCCTTCCCCTTCTTCCTTTCCTTCCCCTTCTTCCTTTCCTTTCCTTCCCCTCCCTTCCTCTTCTTCCTTTCCTTTCCTTCCCCTTCTTCCTTTCCTTTCCTTCCCTTCCCCTTCTTCCCTCCCTCCCTCCCACCCTCCCTCCCCCATTCCCACTCCCTTTCTCTTCCCTCCCTCCCTCCCTTCCCCATTCCCATTCCCATTCCCATTCCCACTCCCTTTCTCTTCCCTCCCTCCCTCCCTTCCCCATTCCCATTCCCATTCCCATTCCCACTCCCTTTCTCTTCCCTCCCTCTCTCCCTCCCTCCCTCCCTCATTCCCTTTCTCTTCCCTCCCTCCCTCCCTTCCCCATTCCCATTCCCATTCTCTTCCCTCCCTCCCTCCCTCCCTCCCTGCACATTTCAGTCCCTTGTGAGAATGAAGGTGTGAGCACATTTGAATACATTTGCATCGGTCCTGGATTGCAGAGACCAGGATCAAATCCCACTTGATCAAGCAGATCACTGAGCAACTACGGATCAGCCACTCTTTTCCAGCTGCTTCAGGGGCACAGGTGTGGGAATAATGTTGGGGAGGATTCCATCCTCTAGTGTTGTGTTTCTAAACCTTGGCAACCTGAAAATTTGTGGATGTCCAGTCTATGGTTAGGGAATTCTGGGAGTCGGACTCCATTCCTTTTCAAGCCGCCAAGGTTGAGAAAAAAAATGCTGGCTGTGGAATTCTGGGAGTTGAAGTCCACATGCCTTAAAATTGTCAAGGTTGAGAAACACTGTTCTAGAAGTTGCCTTGAGCTTTCAGAGAGAAGACGGGAGAAATGCGTTAAGAATAAGAATGTAGGAAAGCATAGGAGCCCTGTAAGTCAGAAGCTATTGTAGACTCTGAGAACTTTCCCAAGGACCATCCTAGAATTTCACAGAGTAAACACAGAGAACTTTCCCCAGACTTTTGTCCCGGCGCAGTTTTGCAGAGAAAGGAGTCAGCCAGTTCCAACGAGTGGGTGGCCAGAGAGAGAATAAATAAAAGATCACCCAGCCACAAAATGAAAATCACATTCCCTTGCTGTCATCAAATTACAATGCTGGAGAAGTTAAAGGGGAAGCAGATAAGAGGGCTGGAAGCCAAGAGCCTTCAAAAAAAAAAAAAAAAAAAGGGATGAAAGACTCAAGCGAACTGTGGAAAGCAAAAGCCTCTCTCTCTCCCCGCTTCCTGAGCAGATTCATATTTGGGCTGATGAAAGAGGCGGTTGAGAGGCATTTCCTTAGGACTCCCCATTCATTTTAAATCGGATGCCTCCATCTCTTCAAATGGGCCAGTGGATTTAATGCTCAGCCTAGCAGGAGGAGGAGGAAAGCCCGAAGATTATTCATAGGGCAGAGCATTTGCAAAACTCCCCATCAACCTCCTGGCTTCTTGTCCTGGAGAACGTGGGTAGTATGTGCACAATGCCCAGCGGGCAAGGGGGTAGAATGGCCCTCGCTCTGGTTACAGACATAGGATGAAGCAACATGACAGGATAGCAGTGTTCCAATATCTCAGGGGCTGCCACAAAGAAGAGGCAGTCAAGCTATTCTGCCAAGCACCTGAAGGCAGGACAAGAAGCAACGGATGGAATTCTATTCTATTCTATTCCATTCTTTCCAATAGCTATTCTATTCTATTCTATTCTATTCTATTCTATTCTATTCTATTCTTTCCAATATCCTATCCTACTCTACTCCTATTCTATTCTGTTCTGTTCTATTTCTATATTCCAATATCTATTCTATTCTATTCTATTCTATTCTATTCTATTCTATTCTATTCTATTCTATTCTATTCTATTCCATTCCATTCCATTCCACTCCACTCCACTCCATTCCATTCTCGTTAAAAGCCACTTGGTAAATAATCTGGGAAGGGTAAAAGTTCCTTCAAACCCATCTGTTTTGTAGTGGGTTGTAACGGCGGGTTTTAACTGTTCATTTTAATTATGAACCATACGTCTTTGTTTTAATTGCTATGGTAAGTGAAGGGTTGATGTCGAAGCTGCTTTTGTCGAATGCCGCAGAGACAAATTTCGTACCAATCTCAGTCAATTAACAAACCCTTGTCTCATAAGGCAAATCAACTTTTCAGAGAAACCGCCATCAGTGCGGTGTTCAGTAGAGAAAGTCAGAGGGCAGATCTTATTAAAGATAAGTCAAATACTTACCAGTAAGCCAGAGATGGGTGCTCCTTAAGGGCTTGAGTTGGAAGCGCTGGCAACTTCTTCAAGTCCGTCCTTACAGTTTCATTGCTGAAAAAGAGAAGGGGGAAGGGGGGGGGAAGAGAAAGAAATCCAATTTTTAAGGACATTAACCCAGAGATAAATAAGACTGACAGTATCAAACTCGATTCTTGCATAATGAAACACTGTAGAGCAGGGGTGTCAAACTCAATTTCATTGAGGGCCGCATCAGCATTGCCGTTGCCCTCAGGGGGCCGGGTGGGTGTGGCCAGGGTAGGTGCGGCCTACTGGCTGCGCGTGGATGGGGTAAGTGTGGCCTACTGGGTGGGCGTGGCCAGCTCTACATCGTTCGCGTCAAGGGTGCCCGTGGGGGCCTGGGCAGGAGTGGGACAGATCTGAGGGTCTCTGGCAGAAGGGGGTGGGACCAGGGCAAGCGCCAAGGCATGGTCCACTGGAGGAGCCTCACTGTTCCTCTCAGGCCATGTGGGGGGGGGGGCTGGATGGTGGTGCGGGCTGCCCGGAGCCCTGGGCAGCAGAGGTCAAATGCCCAACCTGGCCCTTGAGCACCTGCAGCACCAAGCCCAGCCCCACTTCCTCAAGGCTGCTGCTCAAGGTTCTTCTGGTTCCTCGCTGTTTCCAGACAGCCTTGTGGAGCTAAGACTGAATGCGTTTCAGCATAGATGGCCACCACAAAATTGTACATTGGCTCCTGGCCGGCCTGGGCCAGGGCCAAGGCAGCGGAGGCCGTTCCCTCACTGTTTCCAGGATGGCTTCGCGGGCCGCATGAAACCACTTCGCGGGCTGCATCCGGCCCCTGGGCCTTGTGTTTGACATGTCTGCTGTAGAGTGATCCCTTCACCATTTCTTTATTTCTTTATTTTGCATTAGGGAATCAGGGACCTTTGGCCCCCCCAGCATCACCTCCATCTGAACAAAGCTACTCCAGATGTGGCCTCCTCCATTTCATTTGAATTTCTGAAGATCATCACAACATCACTGTTTTCAATAGCAGGAAGAATGTGCACAAACATGGGAGAATACTTGGATTCCCACATGATTCCCCTTTGATGGCTGAAGGGCTGCAAAAGTTGATGGAGTTTGCAGAGATGGCTAAATGAACGGCTTCGATCAAAGAAAAGGACACAATTAATTTTGTTTCTACTTGGAAACCGATTCTGGGCTTTGTGCTTGAGGTGGACAAAAAAACCCTGAAACTTTGATTTTGGGTTTTGCTGATTAGATAGGTTTGTAGTTTGTATTACTATGTAAAAGTAAAAAAAATGAGGGGGTGTGTTGTTATGGTACCTTATTTTACTGTGCCAAAAAAAGTCAATGCTTTTCTTTTTTTCCCTTTCCCTTACACTTTTTCCTGATCCCGCTTTCCTCCTCTATTTTCCCATTATTTTCTCTTTTCTTCATATGTCTGGATTTTGTGTTTTGGAAAACAAATTTTAAAAAAAATATGAATTCAAAACCTTGTTGCCTTTTCAAAGCGGGCGATCCGGTGCGGAAAGCCACATGCGCAGGAAGGAAAGAGAAAGTTTTGTAAGGAAGCCACTTCTCTCTCCAGATTTTAATGACTTCCAAAAATGCTCCAAGGAGCAATTGCTGATCAGAGATCTCCAGCCGGAGTGGCTTTTCCTGCCTTGACAAGTCCTTTGTTCACCCACCTCCTCGGCCTGCTTGGAGGGTGGGTGGGGACTGCGTTTCCTGTGGGAAGGGGCAGGCTGATGCTTTCCTGCAAGGCTGAGAAACTTGGCAAAAACACCATTACAAGAAAAAAAAAAAAAAAAGAGAGCAAAATTTCTGGATGGAGAAACTGCTGAGATTCTGACTTGCCTCAAATGAAAGGAACTGTGACTTGGTTTTGCATTTGTATGTGTTTATTTTAGAATACAGAATATTGTTGTTGTTGTTTTAAAAAAACAGCAAACAGAAGCCCAGAAAAAAGGGATCTCTGGTGCGCTGTACAAGATCGAACTTTCATTTTTATTTAAGTCGTATCATTTTTTTTCCTCCTTCCCGTTCAATCGTGTCTGATTCTCAGACACTCCCTGGACAGGTCCCTGCAGATTTCTTGGCAAGATTTTTCGGAAATGGTTTGTCGTTGCCTCAGTCCCAGGGCTGAGAAAAAGCGACCAGCTTAAGTCACCCAACTGGCTTTGTGCCTAAGGTAGGATCTAGAACTCCCGGTCTTTCAGTTTCTAACCAGGTACCTTAACCACTACACCAGTGTTTCTCAACCTTGACAATTTTACGGCATATGGACTTCAACTCCCAGAATTCTGGGAGTTGAAGTCCACATGCCTTAAAATTGTCAAGGTTGAGAAACACTGCACTACACCAAATTGGCTCTCCATTAACACATTACGCAATCCCATCATTAACATCTAAAGCAGTTTAATTTAACCGTAGTTGTCCCTTCCCCCCAGGCAGAAATTAGATATAAACATTGGGATATGCAATCTAAAATTTTCAACTGTCCTCAAAACGGGAGTCTTGTCAGTAAAAGGTAAAAAAATAAAATAAATTACGGCAAGATGGGAGCATTGTGTTAACACACCCAACAAGACAAATCAGTGGAGCCAGGTTGGTTCCCAGGAAGAACTATAAAACAGAAGATAAACTGCAAAAACAGATCATCACTGGGGGTTACCTGAAAGTCTCACAATCACTCACACACTCTTCTACAACACATTCTGGAGGTGATGGACTCAACTACCCAACTTGAAACACATTCTCACAAGAACCAGAAACAACAGAACAAAGATGCTAATGTAGGAACTAGGCCCGTAACAAACCCGGATTTCCATTTTGCCCTTACATTTACAACTGCTGCACCCTGACAGAATTAGTGGTTCCTGCATATGTCCTTCCTCCTTAATAATAATAAAGTTGGAAGGTCATCTAGTCCAACCCCCTGCTCAGGCAGGAAACCCTATACCATTTCGGACAAATGGCTGTCCAGTCTCTTCTTAAAAACTTCCAGTGTTGGAGCATTCACCGCTTCTGGAGGCAGGCTGTTCCACTAGTAAATAAATGAAATAGAAATAAAAAAAATAAAAATGGAATGAAATAAATAATAAAATAAATAAAAAGAAGTAATAAAATAAAATAATAAAATAAAAATAATAAAATAAAATTAAAATTAAAATTAAATTAAATTAAAATAATAAAATAAAATAAAATACCAGAAATCAAGAAGTATACAGACTATTAATCCAAAGGAGTCTGGTAACTCCTTTTTGCAAATAATCAATTTTGAAGGCAGAAGCTTTGGCGAACCATAGCTAATTTCATCAGATGCACGGCATTGTTAAATTAAAATGTAGGATTTGAAAAGGGGATCAAGCAGCAGAAGAGGAGAAAACGCAGCTATGCAGATACAGATCATGTGCGAGACAGATTAACAATTAGCACCTTTCACGTGTTAACATTTCCTGCTGGTTGTTAAAGCGTTGTGAGATATCCTAAGACCTTTTGATGTATGTGAGTTTCGTCAACTGCAAGGCTATCAGGCCATTACAGTTTCCTTCTTTTAAAAAACGGCAACTCCGGAATCTGTAACTGGATGTCCCATGAAATTAAAATGGGGTTAAAATCCTCTGAGGTTACTCTGTCCTTATTTTGAGCCTTGATATTGAATTTGCTTCTTTCCTACTATTATCCGAGAGCCGAACCAAAGGAAGATCTTTTGGATAGAAGGGCTCAAAAGAGCAGCAGGACTTTTGATTTTATGGTGAATATCTGGAAGAACAAATTTTGCTTAAATTAGCTTTAGGTAACCTTCCCTCCAAGACCCCTAATAATCTGACGTTATGTTTTTCTCACTTATGGATTCTACAGGTTTAACTTAATGTGGAGTCTGTCCATAGCCATAGGGACCCACTGCTAAAAACTTCCACAAACTCCTTGTATTTCACCCCGTCTGCCAGGTTCGTAAACCAGGGATAAACCATTACAGGTAGTTTACCTCAGCTTACCACAGTTCATTTAGCGACTGTTCAAAGTTACAACGGCACTGAAAAAAGTGAGTTACAACCATTTTTTCACACTTACGACCGTTGCAGCATCCCCACGGTCACGTGATCAAAATTGGGCAACACTTGGCAACTGACTCACATTTATGACGGTCGCAGAATCCCGGGTTCACGTGATTTCCCCCTTTGGCGACCTTCTGATAAGCCGAGTCCATGGGGGGAGTCCATTAACAAGGATTCACTTAACAACTGTGGCAGGAAAAGTCGTAAAATGGGGCAAAATTCATTTAACAACTATCTTGCTCAGCAGCAGAAATTTTGGGCTCAATTGTGGACGTAAGTCGAGCACTACCTGTATTCTTTGAGTCTGTAAACATGTTACGCCCTTATTGAGCACTAAAATGAAGAACTGAGACATACTTATTTATTTATTTAGAGAGAATTTATATGGCCGCCCACTCAGAGACTCTGGGAGGCTTATCAAAATTGATTAATTTATTGGTTATTATTGGCCAGGAACCCAACTGATCCAGCCACGAAGACTCCCTATTTAAATAGGGCAGTGTCCATTATATTGCACAATTTTGCTTGCTGTTGCTTGCTTCGCTTCACCCGGGATCTGTAGCAATAGCTTTTCTTGGCTACGATTCTTTTAAGGAGAACATAAAGCATCTGGCAGACAAATCGTTCTTTGTTTCTCAGATAGAAAAATTCAGCTTTTATAGTCTTCGTTGCCAACGGCAGGATTCCTTGGTGATTTGCCCAGAGACAATGGGAAAACGCCTGGGAATCTGGAGGCGGGCTTTCCCAGAGTAAATATTTCCAGAGAAAAATTTCCTCTGACTAACACGTTTCCTTGAAGAAATTTTCAGTAGTAAATAAGTGTCGCTCCCGGATCTTCTCGGTTATACACCATTTTTGCTAAAAACTTTGGGGAAAAGGAAAACAGGATTCACAGCATTTTTGGCTGAACTGTGACTGAGCTGGCATAGCAGCCACAAAATAAATGAAGACGGAGAGTACGGCTGTATTTGGACTATAGGGGTGAAGCCATTAGGCATGAGAAGAGAAATTGTCCTCCTTACTCTC